ACCATGAGCATAGATGTTCTTCCTAGCAAGATATAGTTACTAGTCACTAGCTTTACATATACATAGAGTCTTACAACCAATCAGAATACAAGCTCAAATTCAAAAGCACAGAGAGGGCATAAAACCCAGGCATTCTCAGCATCTCTTCCCTTTTTCCTTCACACAAGATCTTCAAGGCATGTGGTCCTCTCCACCATTAAAATCATCTTTCCAAGCAGCCACCATGTTTCCAGTGTCTTTCTCCCCACTTGGAACTAAACCCAGAAGGATATTTCTTCCAACAATAAATTGCCAGTTCTCATGGCCATATTATATCTCTGGGAGATGAACATGTGGTCTGATTTTGGAGAGTCTGTCTTCGCCTGTTTTAAAAACAAGTGAGTCCTTATTTCTCATTAGGTGGCCAAAGTATTTGAGAATGCATGATAGGTATATGTAAAGCTAGTGACTAGTAACTATATCTTGCTAGGAAGAACATCTATGCTCATGGTGTGTGGGAAGAATGGTAAAATAAAGTGACCACAGATAAGCAAAATCTAAGACTATAATGGAATGTGGAAATGATCTTGGGAATCAGAAAGAAGAGCTGCACACTAGTCAACAATCACATAAAATGTGTCTCGGCCCACAGAAGGAAAAGGCGTATGCAGTGTCTCAAGAGGGACCCTCTCAGATTATCTGGAAAGTAAAAGTAAAGGTATGCAGAAATTCTTTCAGACTTGCAAGATTCTGTTGCTGTAACGTTACAATAGTGTTGGTGCTCATGGTTCATGCTTCTTGTCTGGACTTCAAGGGCTGACAAAGACCAAAAGTAGGCAGAGTGGTAGAGAACTCTTTATGTTACTTTATTTCCCTCTTGTGGTCAGAATTTCACAATAGGTATGTATTTGGTATGTCATTGATTTGTACCACCAACACTATAAGAGGATGGTCCCCTTATGACAACTTTCAATTTTGTTCTCTTATTGGGAAGAAATTGAAAGTGTCTTATTAGCAGAGCCAGAGGCTGCCACATTAATTTCTGAGATATGCTATCTCCTGGGTCCCCTTCAGTTTACTCTGTAAGAATTGTGAACATTCCTCTGCTTCAAAACATTGCTTGAAGGGCTTCTACTCAGGAAATAAATAGATACCACAGTGTCAAAATAGATTATATTTTTTCTGCAAAATAAAATAGTATGCTGGCTGCATAAACGTGTCAGTATGCCTAACTAATAAAGTAATCCAATGCACCTTTAATTGTAAATTGGAATATTAATTGACAGCAGATAAGTAAAGAAACACAAGGCTATTCAGACTAAGTAAAAGTAAAACCATCCAGCATTCCCCCCATCCCACTCTGAAGTCTGATTAAACAGAAGCAGGAAAATAAATTTTCTTCAAATGTGTATGCAGAGGAAACAGATACAACATAGAGAGTTTATATAGTTTATGGGTAAAAAAATGTCTTCAGTCTAAGAAGGGATTTTCTGACTAAAAGAAGGACACAAATAGACATTTTATAGAGGCAACACAAAGTTAGACCCTGGATAGCCAAGATACCTATGTGAAGAAATTGTGTAAGTTGTTTAGTGTTCAGTGGACATCTAGGACATGGCCTGGTATATCTAGGCATCTTTTAAGCTGAACTGTTTATTAGTAAGAGGTCCATAAAACAGGTGTTGGGAAGGACTTTACATCTTATCTTGGTCAACGCATTGCTCACTGCTAAAGCATTCTGGATAGAACCTCCAGTGAAGTGGAGTGTATCATTGTATGAAGCAATCTACTCCAGTGGTTGACTGCTCTTACTGCAGCTTTCATTCATTAAGCATATTTTTTGAAAAAAAAATAAGTGTCACCATTATTACTTTTTTATAAATAACTCAAGGTGGCAAACATATCTAACACTTGTCTTCTATTTCCCCCCACAACAACAGGCCTATGAGATAGGTTAGGTTGAGACAAAGTAACTGGCCAAAGTCATCTAATCAGCTTTCATGCCTAAAGTGGGGCTGGAATTCACTGTCCTTGATTTACTTATGCTGGCCCTTCATTAATGCCTTTGTCGCTGGAATCCTGAAGAAAATTCTGAAACAGTAATGTATGTTTGTTTGTTTTTGGCTTCCCACTCCAAATCTCCCTGTTCTGAAGTAAAAGTGTTCTAAGTATATATCCTGCTCCTTTGAGTTTATCTTAACATTTTAACATTGTTTTAAATTATCATGCCATTTTCTTTTTTTGAAGGAATAAGAAAGAGAGTGGATGAACAATTAAAGTAAAATTGAGGTGCAAGCTTAAGGAAGTTGGTAAATATGATCATGTGCCTTTCTGAAAAAGACTAATATATCTGGGCTGAAACAAATCTGGTCCATTACTAGATGGAAATAAGGGAAGTTTTCTTTAAACTGCCATCTAGTAGTCATCATTTTAAACCCCATTCATAATAGCCCCACGTCTGAATAAAAAGTGGGAAAATGGAAAAAAAAAGTTAAGTGACAGTTGCTCAATTATCTCCCCCTCCCCCAGCAGTACAAAATGTGCAATTTCAGTATGACTGTGCCTCAAATTCATTTCATTATTTGGGCTGCAAAACATTCCAGTAAGATGATTAGAAAAAGCAACCTTAGAATCTGCAGTTAGAAATACATTTGCATAACAGGAGCTTTAATACCCAGGGTTTTTTAATGGAAATTGGCAGTATTTTCTCTGCTTCATCTGATCACAACATTAGACATGAATGTTATATTTAAGAAGATATAAGAAAGCATTTTTTAAAATATATACAGTATATATCCTACTTTTCTGCTAAAATGTACTTAGGATGAATTTTTAATCTCAATGTATGTTTTCTTAATAAGACCTTACTCAAATCATTTCTTAAATACCTGTATAATAGGTATTTAAAATTCCATTTATAACACTGACACTAGAGACTGATCTCCTTAATAATTGGCAACAACTGTGAATAATCTCAGATTTCCCTTAGAATTTTAATTTTAGTAATTATTAAGAAGAGAATGAAGAGTGGCAGAAGTATTAATGTATTGTCTCCTATATTTAAAAAAAAACATTTTTCAAAGCAACTCATATTTTTAATTCTTTGCATATGATTCCTCCCATAGCAAGTGTAAGTTATCCGATACACTTAGAAGCCCTGGACTTATTAAACTCAGCTAAACTCAATGGCTTTAGATGGCACAGCCAATGGCAACAATTTTCCAAACTACAATTCCATAGTTACTCTGTTTGAGGGACTGAAAGAGTTGGACCTTTGGGGTCATCAAATCTACTGTTGGTAGTAAGATTCATAATCATGTGGATTCCATAGGTAAGGATCAACAATAAAATTAGGGAGGTGACCAGACCCATCCAAATTACAGATGTAAAAAATGATGTGCAGTCGCTCGCATAGGAAAAGACATTGTTTTCAATATTGAAAGCTTGAATCTGCAAAAGAAAAAGGGAAATGAGTCATCCAAATATCTGGTTCAACATGTTGCATTTCTATTTAATGGAGATCCCAAAGCAACTGGGGAAAATATAAATTGAAATACAGAACTGGAAGTTTTTAAAAGTGAAAGATTAAAATGAATTTGTATTGAGAAGAAGGTGCTTTTGCTGTCCTTCCAAATGCAACCTGAACAGCTTTCCTTCACATATAAGATAGGTGAGTCTTTGATAGTAGGAAATGATCAAAAGGGCCATCTCTACAGATCTTCATTTACAACCAGATTCATAGAAGGGGAGAGAATCCCTCTCTTGGACTCTAGGTTCTTTAAGCTTTTCAGGGATGACACCAACATATTTAATTGTATTTAGTAAAATACTTAACCAGCACATCTCTTTCCTTCCTTGTATCTTGCACTGGTAACAGCTGAAGATAACCCCAAAATGATGACATTAAATGACTGGATCTCTGATGCAAGAACATAAGTCATAGCAATTCCCAACATAAAACAATTTTCATTTGTCAAGATGTGATATAACTAATTGAAACATGCCCGGATAATTGTTATCATGCAGATGCATCTGAAGTCAATCATGTTTCCCAGCAATAGAATTTTTGAAATTGGATTATAAACCCACATGGTTTCTGGCTCAAGGAAAGGTTGCTTTAGTACAGGTCATTTAGGCAGTGAGTGTGTTTGGGTGTGTACAGTATATGTGAAGGACACATCCCAGATGTAAGGAAGCAGAGATCACTTTTTTAAAAAATCATGAAGCCAGTCTGATCTGGCATTCTAATGAGAATGGAGAAAATGGATGGTAGTCCTAATTTGAAAAACATAATAATAATGCTTATTGAATAGAAATGGAATCAGTCATTGAATTCCAACTCTGGAACAGAAGATGAAGCAAAGGTGATTTACTTTGGTGTTTCTGTTGCATCTGTACAGCATAAGCCATTAATGCTTTTCTAGATATATGCTCTCCTTGCGGCAGAGAAAATGGAATATTCAAAGGCTCACCTTGAGCAACTTTCATCGTAACTTGCAGATCAGAATTGCCACAATGTGGATTCCAGATAGCCAAGAAGATGATCTTGGCAATTGCTCATTCCATTCATGTGGATTATTTTTATCTTGTAGATCTTCAGTATGTGGACAGTTATGTAGAGACATGAGAATTCCTTTGCTTATTCCTTACCATTGTTGCCTGATGAAATCAGCAGGTAGGATTGTCCCCATGGTAATAATTGATGTTTCTTTGAGTGATTATTGTCTTACGCTGAAACTAGATGGGGGAGAGTAATCCTAATAATTCTCTGGGTGTCTTGGAGCTTTTGATACCCCTGATATATTCCTAGGTTACCTGCTAGAGTTGGCCTTGGTGTAACAGTTTTGCAGTAGTTTCCGCTCTTTCTACTGGAGTGTGTCCAGAAACAAGTGCGAGAGAGGCTATTATTCAACATGTAGGTCATTATTTTGTTGTGTCCCATAGGATTTTATTTTATCACCTGTGTTGCTTATGTGTATTTTGGGAAGGCAATTTGGACCTATGGCAAAATGGCATTAAGCATTCCCATCATAATTCTTGTTTCTGTTTTCATTCATACAGAAATAAGACAGGATCCTTATTTTGGGTCAACAACCTTATTGCCCTCATGTGGCTTGTTTTGTTCTTGCTGCTGCATTGGAATCAAGTAGGATGACAAGTTTTGGAGAAGGAGTCTATCTATGTATTTTAGGCATGGAGAGAATGTAAACTGGAAACCATTGGTTAGCTTCTCAAACATTTTGCAAAAATTACAAAGAGAATTTCTGTCTCTGTTTCAAGCACATATGCACACACCACAAAGAAAGAAAAAGAGGAAGACTATCTTTCATTAGAGAAAGAATATAATTTCAATGGGGGGAAAAAAGAAAGGTCATCTGTATTCTTTTAGTTCACACAGACCCGTGAATGGGAATGAAATAAAACATACTAGATGCTGTGCTTAGAGTTAAAAGTGCATGAAACATATTAAAGGCTTTGATGTTAGTAAGCACTTTATCTAAAGAGGACTGGATGAGCTACATTTACAGATATTGTTGCACTATTAATCTTGCCAACAATTGTAAGAACAACAACAAAAACTATTTGGTTTGTTTTTGACTCTTACTCAGAATGGAAGCTTCATTACTTTAACATCTCTGGTTAGGCTTTAACAATACCTGCTTTGATGTCTGCCCTAAGCTACCTTTTTTCTCAAGCTTTGCCATCACTTTGAGATGAGAATACGGTAGTTATATTCTAACAAGAAGGTAACGATGAAACTCCCTGCAGTTTCTTGATGAGCAAACTTAGAAAAAACATAAACCCACTTTTTTTCCTTATATCTTTTGATCAAAATCTTTAGACAAGGTTTACGGGTCTAATATTCATCGTAGTCTGTCTCTATTATTCTGAAGCTAAATCGTGATTTTTAAAATGCTTTCATGTAATTTGTTTGCTGATGCCTTATGAGATAGTTGAAATCTTTTGATACATATGAGTTTAACAATCTCTATATTGTTTGTGCTGCTCGTGTTTCTTTTTCCACCAAAATGGCTACTTTAAGACAATCCTAGCAGGTCTCAAAGATCCCAGTGGGCTTTTAATATATTGCAATTTTTAATTGATAAAGATACTTGAAATTTGTCTGACATAAGCACATTCTCTTCATTTGAATTCCTCTCCCTACCTCATCTTAATTTAATTCCTACATTAGTCACCTCATGTTTCTGAAGAAGTGAATTGTAGTTTATGAAAGGTTATGCTCTTCAGTTATATTTATTCTGAAAACAACCTATCAACTTTGATTATTGGCTCTCATCTAGTAACACAGCTCTCCTCCTACAATGTCTACAGCTGGGAAAGAAAAAATGTCCTCAAGTCAAACTCAATTTTATGAAGATTTAATGGACAATGCCTTGCCTTCTTTTAGCATTTCCCCCATGATTTTACCTAGCCTAATTATCTTCCATCCACTATGAAAAAAGTAACAGAAATGGATGCAACATGGACTTTTAGTATGCAGTATGGGCCCTTAAGTGTGTGTGTGTGTGTGTGTGTGTGTGTGTGTGTGTGTGTGTGTGTGTGTGTGTGAGAGAG